GTAGAGATCTGTGAGCTGTCATAGACCTATAGAATCCTGTAGATATCTGTTTTCTGTCATAGACCTATATAATCCTTTAAAGATCTGTGAGCTGTCATAGACCTATATAATCCTCTTAAGATTTGGGAGCTGTCATAGACCTATAGGATCATGTAAGTCATAGACCTATAGAATCCTGTAGATATCTGTGAGCTGTCATAGACCTATAGAATCCTGTAAAGATCTGTGAGATGTCATAGACCTATAGAATCATGTAAAAATCTGTGAACTGTCATAGACCTATAGAATCCTGTAAAGATCTGTGAGCTGTCATAGACCTATATAATCCTGTAAAGATATGTGAGCTGTCATAGACCTATAGAATCATGTAAAAATTTGTGAACTGTCATAGACCTATAGAATCCTGTAAAGATCTGTGAGCCGTCATAGACCTATAGAATTCTGTAAATATCTGTGAGCTGTCATAGACCTATAGAATTCTGTAAACATCTGTGAGCTGTCATGGACCTATAGAATCCTGTAGAGATCTGTGAGCTGCCATAGACCTATAGAATCCTGTACAGATCTCTGAGCTGTCATAGACCTATAGGATCCTGTAAAGATCTGTGAGCTGTCATAGCCCTATAGAATCCTGTAAAGATCTGTGAGCTGTAATAGACCTATAGAATCCTGTAAAGATCTCTGAGCTGTCATATACCTATAGAATCCTGTACATATCTGTGAGCTGTCATAGACCTATAGAATCCATTACAGATCTGTGAGCTGTCATAGACCTATACAATCCTGTAGATCTATAGAATCCTGTAAAGATCTGTGAGCTGTAATAGACCTATAGAATCCTGTAAAGATCTCTGAGCTGTCATATACCTATAGAATCCTGTACATATCTGTGAGCTGTCATAGACCTATAGAATTCTGTAAACATCTGTGAGCTGTCATGGACCTATAGAATCCTGTAGAGATCTGTGAGCTGCCATAGACCTATAGAATCCTGTACAGATCTGTGAGCTGTCATAGACCTATACAATCCTGTAAAGATCTGTGAGCTGTCATACACCTATAGGATCCTGTAAAGATCTGTGAGCTGTCATAGACCTGTAGAATCCTGTAAAGATCTGTGAGCTGTCATAGCCCTATAGAATCCTGTAAAGATCTGTGAGCAGTCATAGACCTATAGAATTCTGTAAATATCTGTGAGTTGTCATAGACCTATAGAATCCTGTAAAGATCGCTGAGCTGTCATATACCTATAGAATCCTGTACATATCTGTGAGCTGTCATAGACCTATAGAATCATGTAAAGATCTGTCAGCTGTCATAGACCTATAGAAACCTGTAAAGATCTGTCAGCTGTCATAGACCTAAAGAATCATGTAGAGATCTGTGAGCTGTCATAGACCTATATGATCCTGTAAAGATATGTGAGCTGTCATAGACCTATAGAATCCTTTTAAGATTTGGGAGCTGTCATAGACCTATAGGATCCTGTAAAGATCTGTGAGCTGTCATAGACCTGTAGAATCCTGTAAAGATCTGTGAGCTGTCATACACCTATAGGATCCTGTAAAGATCTGTGAGCTGTCATAGACCTATCTATAGAATCCTGTACAGATCTGTGAGCTGTCATAGACCTATATAATCCTGTTAAGATTTGGGAGCTGTCATAGACCTATAGGATCCTGTAAAGATCTGTGAGCTGTCATAGACCTGTAGAATCCTGTAAAGATCTGTGAGCTGTCATACACCTATAGGATCCTGTAAAGATCTGTGAGCTGTCATAGACCTGTAGAATCCTGTAAAGATCTGTGAGCTGTCATAGCCCTATAGAATCCTGTAAAGATCTCTGAGCTGTCATATACCTATAGAATCCTGTACATATCTGTGAGCTGTCATAGACCTATAGAATCCTGTTAAGGTTTGGGAGCTGTCATAGACCTATAGGATCCTGTAAAGATCTGTGAGCTGTCATAGACCTATCTATAGAATCCTGTACAGATCTGTGAGCTGTCATAGACCTATACAATCCTGTAAAGATCTGTGAGCTGTCATACACCTATAGGATCCTGTAAAGATCTGTGAGCTGTCATAGACCTATCTATAGAATCCTGTACAGATCTGTGAGCTGTCATAGACCTATAGAAACCTGTAAAGATCTGTCAGCTGTCATAGACCTATAGAAACCTGTAAAGATCTGTCAGCTGTCATAGACCTATAGAATCCTGTAATGATCTGTGAGCTGTCATAGACCTATAGAAACCTGTAAAGATCTGTCAGCTGTCATAGACCTATTGAATCCTCTACAGATCTGTGAGCCCTCATAGACCTATAGAATCCTGTAAAGATCGCTGAGCTGTCATATACCTATAGAATCCTGTACAGATCTGTGAGCTGTCATAGACCTATATAATCATGTAAAGATATGTGAGCTGTCATAGACCTATAGAATCCTGTAAAGATCTGTCAGCTGTCATAGACCTATTGAATCCTCTACAGATCTGTGAGCTGTCATAGACCTATAGAATCCTGTAAAGATCTGTGAGCTGTCATAGACCTATAGGATCCTGTAAAGATCTGTGAGCTGTCATAGACCTATAGAATCCTGTACAGATCTGTGAGCTGTCATAGACCTATAGAATCCATGACAGTTCTGTGAGCTGTCATAGACCTATAGAATCCTGTAAAGATCTGTGAGCTGTCATAGACCTATAGAATCCATTACAGATCTGTGAGCTGTCATAGACCTATATAATCCTGTAAAGATCTGTGAGCTGTCATAGACCTATATAATCATGTCAATATCTGTAAGCTGTCATAGACCTATAGAATCCTGTAAAGATCTGTGAGCTGTCATAGACCTATAGAATCCTGTACAGATCTGTGAGCTGTCATAGACCTATAGAATCCTGTAAAGATCTGTGAGCTGTCATAGTCCTATATAATCATTTCAATATCTGTAAGCTGTCATAGACCTATAGAATCCTGTAAAGATCTGTGAGCTGTCATAGTCCTATATAATCATTTCAATATCTGTAAGCTGTCATAGACCTATAGAATCCTGTAAAGATCTGTGAGCTGTCATAGACCTATATAATCATGTAAAGATCTGTGAGCTGTCATAGACCTAAATAATCTGGTAAAGATCTGTGAGCTGTCATAGACCTATATAATCATGTAGAGATCTGTGAGCTGTCAGACCTATAGAATCCTGTAGATATCTGTGAGCTGTCATAGACCTATAAGATCATGTAAAGACCTGTGAGCTGTCAGACCTATAGAATCCTGCACAGATTTGTGTGCTGTCATAGACCTATAGAATCCTGTAGAGATCTGTGAGCTGCCATAGACCTAAAGAATCATGTAGAGATCTGTGAGCTGCCATAGACCTAAAGAATCATGTAGAGATCTGTGAGCTGTCATAGACCTATAGAATCCTGTAAAGATCTGTGAGCTGTCATAGACCTATAGAATCCTGTAGAGATCAGTGAGCTGTCATAGACCTATAGAATCATGTAGAGATCTGTGAGCTGTCATAGATCTATATAATCCTGTAAAGATCTGTGAGCTGTCATAGACCTATACAATCCTGTAGATATCAGTGAGCTGTCATAGCCCTATAGAATCCTGTCAAGATCTGTGAGCTGTCATAGACCTAAATAATGTGGTAAAGATCTGTGAGCTGTCATAGACTTATAGAATCCCGTAAAGATCTGTGAGCTGTCATAGACCTATAGAATCCTGTAAAGATCTGTGAGCTGTCATAGACTTATAGAATCCCGTAAAGATCTGTGAGCTGTCATAGACCCAAATGATCCTGTAGAGATCTGTGAGCTGTCATAGACCTATAGAATCCTGTAGAGATCTGTTTGCTGTCATAGACCTTTATAATCCTGTAAAGATCTGTGAGCTGTCATAGACCTATAGAATCCTTTACAGATCTGTGAGCTGTCATAGACCCATAGGATCCTGTAAAGATCTGTGAGCTGTCATAGACCTAATGAACAGCATGACCATGGTAACACAAACCAGACACAACACCAGCCAGGGACAAACGACACAAAACCAGTAAAAGACATTACACAGCATGACCATGGGAACACAAACCGGACACAACACCAACCAGGGAAAAACGCCACGACAACAGAAACAGAAATTAAATAGCATGACCATGGCAACACACACCAGACAACCACCAACCAGGGGCAAACGACACGAAACCAGTAACAGACATTGAGCAACATGACCATGGTAACACACCCCAGACACAACACGTCATAGACCCATAGGATCCTATAAAGATCTGTGAGCCGTCATAGACCTAATGAACAGCATGACCAGGGTAACACAACCCAGACACAACACCAACCAGGGACAAACGACACGAAACCAGTAACAGACATTAAACAGCATGACCATGGTAACACACACCAGACACAACACCAACCAGGTACAAACGACACGACAACAGTAACAGACATTAAACAACATAACCATGGTAACACAAACCAGACACAACACCAACCAGGGACAAACGACACGACGACAGTAACAGACAATGAACAGCATGACCATTGCAACACAACACCAACCAGGGACAAACGACTAGACAACAGCAACAGAAACAATGCACAACAAAACCATGGTAATACAAACCAGACACAACACCAACCAGGGACAAACGACACGACAACAGCAACAGAAAATGAACAGCATAACCATGGCAACACAAACCAAACACAACACCAACCAGGGACAACAGCAACAGAAACAATGAACAACAAAACCATGGTAACACAAACCAGACACAACACCAACCAGGGACAAACGAAACGACGACAGTAACAGACATTGAACAGCATGACCATGGTAACACAAACCAGACACAACACCAACCAGGGACAAACGACACGACAACAGAAACAGACAATGAACAACATAACCATGGTAACACACACCATACACAACACCAACCAGGGACAAACGACACGACAACAGTAACAGACATGGAACAAAATAACGATGGTAACACAAACCAGACACAAGACCAACCAGGGACAAACGACACGACGACAGTAACAGACATTGAACAGCATAACCATGGTAACACAAACCAGACACAACACCAACCAGGGACAAACGACACGACAAAAGTAACAGACATTGAACAAAATAACGATGGTAACACAAACCAGACACAACACCAACCAGGGACAAACGACACGACAAAAGTAACAGACATTGAACAGCATGACCATGGCAACACAACACCAACCAAGGACAAACGACACGACAACAGTAACAGACATTGAGCAACATAACTATGGTAACACAACCCAGACACAACACCAACCAGGGACAAACGACACGACGACAGTAACAGACATTGAACAACATAACCATGGTAACACAAACCAGACACAACACCAACACAAACGACACGACAACAGTAACAGACATTGAACAGCATAACCATGGTAACACACACCAGACACAACACCAACCAGGGACAAACGACACGACAACAGAACAGACATTGAACAGCATGACCATGGTAACACAAACCAGGGACAACACCAACCAGGGACAAACAACACGACAACAGTAACAGACATTGAACAGCATGACCATGCCAACACAACACCAACCAGGGACAAACGACACGACGACAGTAACGGACATTGAACAGCATAACCATGGTAACACAAACCAGACACAACACCAACCAGGGACAAACTACACGACAACAGTAACAGACATTAAACAACATAACCATGGCAACACAAACCAGACACAACACCAACCAGGGACAAACGACACGACAACACACAACACCAACCAGGGACAAACGACACGACGACAGTAACACACATTGAACAACATAATCATGGTAACACAAACCAGTCACAACACCAACCAGGGACAAACGACACGACAAGACATTGAACAGCATGACCATGGTAACACAAACCAGGGACAACACCAACCAGGGACAAACAACACGACAACAGTAACAGACATTGAACAGCATGACCATGCCAACACAACACCAACCAGGGACAAACGACACGACAACACACAACACCAACCAGGGACAAACGACACGACGACAGTAACATGCATTGAACAACATAATCAGGGTAACACAAACCAGACACAACACCAACCAGGGACAAACTACACGACAACAGTAACAGACATTAAACAACATAACCATGGCAACACAAACCAGACACAACACCAACCAGGGACAAACTACACGACGACAGTAACATACATTGAACAGCATGACCATGACAACACAACACCAACCAGGGACAAAACAACAGTAACAGACATTGAACAAAATAACGATGGAAACAAAAACCAGACACAACACCAACCAGGGACAAACGACACGACGACAGTAACAGACATTGAACAACATAACCATGGTAACACAAACCATGGACAACACCAACCAGGGACACAACCAGGGACAAACGACACGACGACAGTAACACACATTGAACAACATAATCATGGTAACACAAACCAGTCACAACACCAACCAGGGACAAACGACACGACAAAAGTAACAGACATTGAACAGCATGACCATGGCAACACAACACCAACCAAGGACAAACGACACGACAACAGTAACAGACATTGATCAAAATAACGATGGTAACACAAACCAGACACAACACCAACCAGGGACAAACGACACGACAAGACATTGAACAGCATGACCATGGTAACACAAACCAGACACAACACCAACACAAACGACACGACAACAGTAACAGACATTGAACACAAACCAGACACAACACCAACCAGGGACAAACGACACGACAAAAGTAACAGACATTGAACAGCATGACCATGGCAACACAAACCAGACACAACACCAACCAGGGACAAACTACACGACAACAGTAACAGACATTAAACAACATAACCATGGGAACACAAACCAGACACAACACCAACCAGGGACAAACTACACGACGACAGTAACATACATTGAACAGCATGACCATGACAACACAACACCAACCAGGGACAAACGACACGACAAAAGTAACAGACATTGAACAGCATGACCATGGCAACACAAACCAGACACAACACCAACCAGGGACAAACTACACGACGACAGTAACAGACATTGAACAGCATAACCATGGTAACACAACCCAGACACAACACCAACCAGGGACAAACGACACGACAACACACAACACCAACCAGGGACAAACGACACGACGACAGTAACTGACATTGAACAGCATGACCATGGTAACACAAACCAGGGACAACACCAACCAGGGACAAACGACACGACAACAGTAAAAGACATTGAACAGAATGACCATGGCAACACAACACCAACCAGGGACAAACGACACGACAACACACAACACCAACCAGGGACAAACGACACGACGACAGTAACAGACATTGAACAGCATAACCATGGTAACACACACCAGACACAACACCAACCAGGGACAAACGACACGACGACAGTAACGGACATTGAACAGCATAACCATGGTAACACAAACCAGACACAACACCAACCAGGGACAAACTACACGACGACAGTAACATACATTGAACAGCATGACCATGACAACACAACACCAACCAGGGACAAACGACACGACAAAAGTAACAGACATTGAACAGCATGACCATGGCAACACAACACCAACCAAGGACAAACGACACGACAACAGTAACAGACATTGATCAAAATAACGATGGTAACACAAACCAGACACAACCCCAACCAGGGACAAACTGACCATGTTAACACACACCAGACACAACACCAACCAGGGACAAACGACACGACAAGACATTGAACAGCATGACCATGGTAACACAAACCAGACACAACACCAACCAGGGACAAACGACACGACAACACACAACACCAACCAGGGACAAACGACACGACAAAAGTAACAGACATTGAACAGCATGACCATGGCAACACAAACCAGACACAACACCAACCAGGAACAAACGACACGACGACAGTAACAGACATTGAACAACATAACCATGGTAACACAAACCATGGACAACACCAACCAGGGACACAACCAGGGACAAACGACACGACGACAGTAACATGCATTGAACAACATAATCATGGTAACACACGACGACAGTAACAGACATTGAACAGCATAACCATGGTAACACAACCCAGACACAACACCAACCAGGGACAAACGACACGACGACAGTAACATGCATTGAACAACATAATCATGGTAACACAAACCAGACACAACACCAACCAGGGACAAACGACACGACAACAGTAACAGGCATTGAACAACATAATCATGGTAACCCAACCCAGACACAACCCCAACCAGGGACAAACGACACGACGACAGTAACAGACATTGAACAACATAATCATGGTAACACAACCCAGACACAACACCAACCAGGGACAAACGACACGACAACAGTAACATGCACTGAACAACATAATCATGGTAACACACACCAGACACAACACCAACCAGGGACAAACGACACGACAACAGTAAAAGACATTAAACAGCATAACCATGACAACACAAACACCAGGGACAAACGACACGACAACAGTAACAGACATTAAACAGCATAACCATGACAACACAAACCAAACACAACACCAACCAGGGACAAACGACACGACAACAGTAACAGACATTGAACAACATAATCATGGTAACACAAACCAGACACAACACCAACCAGGGACAAACGACACGACAACAGCAACAGACAATGAACAACATAACCATGGCTACACAACACCAACCAGAGACAAACGACACGACAACAGTAACAGACATTGAACAGCATTACCATGACAACACACACCAGACACAACACCAACCAGGGATAAACAACACGACAACAGTAACAGACATTGAACAGCATTACCATGACAACACAAACCAGACACAACACCAACCAGGGACACACAACACGACAACAGAAACAGACAATGAACATCATTACCATGGTAACACAAACCAGACACAACACCAACCAGGGACAAACGACACGACAACAGTAACAGACATTGAACAACATAACCATGGTAACACAAACCAGACACAACACCAACCAGGGACAAACTACAGGAAAACAGCAGAAACAGTAACAATGAATTCAATAGTGCACAACAAAAAGAAGACGTTTGGAATGATCGTTTAATATTTTACGAATAAATGTATTGACGCAATAAGCTGTTGATGATTGACAGAGCGAGATGCTTATTTTAGACTTTAGTCTGAGTCCAACATGTTGCAAAGGAAAGATTGCAATGTACGTGAATTGTAGTTTAGTGACGTTATTATTGATTGAGGGAATGTCGAACTCAAGATGATATCCGAAAAACTGACTGCAATTTGCAACATGTTGTACGCCGATTTTTTGTAGAATTATGAACCAAGTGGTGTATGTGTGTGTGTGATTATCGTATTTTTCAAAGATTGTTTGTCATTTTTCAGACTCTTAATTAACATACCAATTCCTTTGTTGTTTGTAACTATTCTACATGAATAGTTTCCATTCGGAAACAACTCGGGTCTGTACGTCTTAACCTCAGAGTAATCTTCGGATCAGTCTAGTTGTGGCACCAGTTCAAGCTTTGATGGAAATTCCCGAATGGTTGCCTGTCAGAATTCGTAACCATAGAAAACAATATTATTTCCGCTACAGTGGTTAAACATATGGATTGAAATACATAATTTACATTTCTTTAAGGAACAGTTTTCTGCTTTTGTAGGTTATGCAAGGACAACCTTACCTAAGCAGAACAAAAATTGTTCCTTATAAAGTATTTTGAAATATTTTTCTGTGAATGCTTAATGATTATTTTATTCAATAGTCTGAATTTATTATAGAAGGCTTCGCCAACTGTTTAATGTACACGTGCTCAGCTGGAGTTATCGCCCCATAACCTGACCAAATTTGGAAAATTATTCCCTATAAACAACGTAGTTCATTTAAAATATCTCTCTCCAAGATGCACTATAGCGCAACACGGGAAGATGTTAGAGCTGTAGTGAAACCATTCTACAGGTTAAAAAGATATATCTCACTCATCCAACAAATCGTCATACCCTCTTTTTATATTACCTTGTTATTAGAATCATTATTGAATTAACAATATTCAGAGGGAGAGGATTTTAGGTACAAACGAACAACACATATTTCTTTCCATGATAAAACTGTCAAGTTGTCTGTTAATTGCAAAATGTGGCAAAACCAGCCGGTGAATCGTCTAGAGACCGGAGGTGAGCTGCCGAAGAATTTGTATTAGGAACTCGTGTCCCAGTGGGGAAACTATTTTGTAAAGTTTTCTATATCCTGTGTGACTTTGTCAAATCCAATTAAAACCGATCATTCTTAGCAACACCTGCCTTTAATTCTATATGGAATTTCTATTAAATGACACATCTTTCCATATTGAAATGAGAAGTAACTGATCAACGAGGTTTGTGAACGATTCCAGAGCGACCGAAGAATATCTATGTATACTGATGGCAAGTATAACAGCTCAAATGTTCTTATTGAGGTACGCGTCCTCTGTAGAGGCCGTGGCAGACTGTTACAATTGAGTAAGGCGTCCTCTGTAGAGGCCGTG